AATTGAAAATTTTTTTTGCGAGCACATTTATGATTTTTAGTACATAGGTTAAGAAAAATATGCTGATTCGAAATATGTTCGCGTTCACAAAATCGGATGCTGCGCACAAAAGTTATAGGGGTTTTAAATCTTGTATTTCAAATATAAATTAAATGAATTCCTATTTGTTGTAATTCGCGAATTTCTTCACAAATGGATAAACACATTTGTTTTCTTTGCACACTAGTCAAATCACATTGAAATACGGTTTAATAGTCGCGAAAGACAAATAGAAGCATGAAGATATCCGAAAATAAAATAAATTAATTTTTGAATTGCCACAAAATGTTTTTTCAATTTTTGATTTTTTGGTATGGTTAATGCCATGTTCTGACGGGCATCCGAACAACGTAGTTCGCTCTCAGAATTACGTACATGAATTAACCCGTTCATACAACACTATTCATAATTCATATCATCGGAGTTTTTTATTTCAAACTTTTTGTTTCTTGTTTTACACCAAATATGTAACATATTTTAGTGAATTACATAGGGATCTAAATAGAAAAAATAATTCTCTTTCTCCTGACTATAGTATGAACCCATATCTATTTACTTTTCATTCATGTTTTCCATTTTTTCTGAAAATGTTGTTGTTTTTAATACATTTTTATATTTTCTCAATTCAAATGTCACATACTGTCACAAATAAAATTTTGGAGAATTGTTTGTTTGAGTTGCCCCACATTTGTTTCTTGTTTTGTACGCTAATTAGAACCAAGGGAAAAGAAATGCATATTGCATTATGTAGAAAACAAAATTTACATCCTGCTGCATATATAAAAACTATACAATTTTTTACTTTTCATTCATGATTTTCAATTTTACTGAAAAAGTTTGAAAATTTCATAAATATTTTCAAACTGTCAAAATTAATTTATTTTCGATAAATACTCTCAATTGTTAGGGATGGGACAAATTTATTGGTTATTCAGAGAGTGATTCGAATTGAACAACGTACAAAAGTCGGTGTTCGCTCAGACAATTTTGTATGGGGAACTAAGTAATTCCTTCATAATTAAGGGTCGAACAACGAATGAGAGAGCGAACAACGCTCGTCTGGACATGGCATAAGATAATACGGTTTAGTCTAGATCTTCTACAACACGTGACGATTTCTTCTACAAATTCTTTGATATGATTGTTAAATATCGGTAGATTCCTCTGTTAAGAGTTTTGACTTTAAAAATTACCAAATATATTGCAGTTACAGTATATGAAAATGATCAACATTAAAAAGCTTACAGTTCGCGTATTCGTTGAAATCAGTTGATGCGCATGCGGTTTTCGTATAAACCGAATCAATCTCTTCCAATAATTATGCATTTTTCGAGGTTTCATTTAGCGGCCAAACTGTGCCGCTCGATGCACTTTACTATGCAAAAACCCTAAAAATGACTATAAATGGCGCAACGTGCATACGATTTTTATGCGCATCCGATTTCAGTAATCTCTTATGAAAATACGCAAAAGGACACCTATTTTAAAAGGATCGGTTAAGAACCGCGGATGTGCCTCCACAATCGATTTTGGATAAAATTCGCATATCATTCGCGTATCGATATATTTTTGACATATTTTCACACAGATTTGCGAATATGATAACACAAGAATGATTGTATGTGAAATCAATTCGAAGAAAAACGCGATTATATACGCGAATTTGTCAAAATAAGTTTTTGCAGTTTTTCCCACATTCAAGGTACCTATATCCGCCGATTTATTGGGCGGAATTGAACATGACTGGGCTCATTAGATCCGGCACGTAAAAAAACTGAAATCACGCGGGGTTCCACGGAATTTGAATGGACTTTCTTAATTTTAGACTCAATAAATATGTTTTCCATAAAAATGTACGCACCAAATTTTCGACTTTGGAGCCCAATTGCAAAGAAGCTACGGTGAGCACATTCATGAGATATACACAAAACGAAGCAAAATCACGAGTTCTACTATCCATTAATTAGTTTAGTCCATTATCTGGATGCGCATCCTAATTATAAGAAAAAATCAAAAAACACCGAAAATCAGGCTTCAAAATGTCAGCATCCATTTCGTTTGGATGCAGTGATTATATCGAAAAATCATGAATTAGAACCATGTTGTCCATGGGGTATTCTGCAACTTAGTCACTGATCACATGTGCGTGGATTGTGTAGTTTAGCCACAAATCAGGAAGGAACACAAAAAACTCGTTGGCTTCAACGCATTTTCACCCATTTTTTACATTACCACCATCGCAACTTATTATTTATTATCAATATTTTAAGATTTTGGCAAGAACACGAAGCAAAATCACGAGTTCTACTATCCATTAATTAGTTTAGTCCATTATCTGGATGCGCATCCTAATTATAAGAAAAAATCAAAAAACACCGAAAATCAGGCTTCAAAATGTCAGCATCCATTTCGTTTGGATGCAGTGATTATATCGAAAAATCATGAATTAGAACCATGTTGTCCATGGGGTATTCTGCAACTTAGTCACTGATCACATGTGCGTGGATTGTGTAGTTTAGCCACAAATCAGGAAGGAACACAAAAAACTCGTTGGCTTCAACGCATTTTCACCCATTTTTTACATTACCACCATCGCAACTTATTATTTATTATCAATATTTTAAGATTTTGGCAAGAACACTTCATTTTATAGAAATGAATTTAAATTATATGCAATATGTTCATATTTTTGTAATTTCCCATATGTATATATATATATATATATATATATATATCCTTTTTCAACAAGTGGTGTTTTTTTTAATTACCCGCCATTTCGTTAGCTACTAAATTTGAAGCTGGGAAGTTGCGGATTTCACGAATGCCATTACACTGTATTTTGCACTAGGTGTCTTAGTTGAAATATATAAAAATTGTCGAGAGCCCACCGGATTGATAAGGCTGTAACCTAGTCACCTCACCAAAATTGTCCCACTTGGTGCATGGAAAAACTAAAATTTATTTTATCATGAGTTTCTCCATTCTCAAGGTGTGATAGTTTGGTGCAGTTTATGATAGTCCAATGGGGTCATTGGACCTTTCCTTTTTCAAATTGAGGCTGGATCTACAGTTACGTTGGATAATGCCTATTTTCTATGATTACAAATTAAAATTATACCAAACCACGAATTAATTGTTGATATTTTATGGAGAGTCTTCCCATTTTTTTTTTTAATTTTTTCCCTATAGTTTTTGTTTCTCAAATATCAATAAATGTACGTTATGATAAATGTCCAAAGGGATATTTCCACAATCATACGTACGCACGCATCACATTACTGCCATTTCCATTTTATATTGTGCATTTATTTTTCGAATTCCATAGAAAAGAATGTGCTGCTGTTTTTTGCTTTTTTTTTGTTTTGTTAATGCCCTGCAATACTTACACAAATGGTTTATTATCGTTTCCATAGTCCACGACCAGAAATTGTAAACGTGATTCAGCTGTAACCAAGTCACTCATATCGATACTTTTTACAACCTTGCCATCGGCCGTATTAATGGCAACAATTTTCGGACTGCAACGTCGTATCGGCTGTTCCAGAGTATTGACAATGCCCACATCTAAAGCCCACAAAAGACCCTGCAATGAAATAAAAAAAAAACGAATCCCCCCAAAAAGAGAAGAAGAGAGAAAAACCATATTAAAACATACATAAATGAAATGAAAATGGTATTGAATGTCAATAATAATATGCAATAACAATAAGTCAGGAAGCTGGATTAAAACATACATTGGAATTTATAACGAAGTTTTTTTTGGTTGGCTTTTGTTTTTTCTTAACCAAAAACAATAATAAAAAATACGTTTATGAAATGATATAAAAATAAAGATATATTTTTTTTAGAATTTGAAGGTCACTGATGCATACAAATTAATGCAGAGATATTTAGCAGTAAGATAAAGGATTAAATAAATCGTATAAAAATGTTCATAATAAATTCAAACGAAATTTTAATTTATTTGATTTTGTTCAAATACCGCCACAACCAATGGCCATAAAGAATTTTGAAAGAGTACTTCAGAAATTTCAAGTAATTATCACAGTTTTGCCAAGTTTTATTTTTAAATGATTTATTTAAATTCGTTCGTGGAAAATGTTTAAAATAGAATATATTTTTTATATTCTTTTTTTCTGGAAATCCTAACCTTCCTTGAGGGACATTTAAAATGCCTCCATACCAAAAATTTTAAACCATATTATCGGCCTACAGAAGAGCATTTCACGAGAAAACATTGTTTTGATGATATGTAACCCACAGCATGGTTTTTAGGTTTAATTCTGATTGAATGGAAGATGAATTTTATTAAGTTTTTCCCACATACCGCTATTCAAAATAATATTTACTTTTCAAACTTCGAATGTGGTGTATTCTAAGTGCCAAAAGGAGGGAGAATTGGACTACTTTTTTGGAAGAATAAATTAGTCAAATACTAAAATGGTATTTTGCAGATGGGCCTCTGCACTATGGGCCAGGAATCTAATTCTTTTTTGGCAAAAAGTCAAAATGTCCAATATTTATAAATCCAACATTAGGTGATTTGAATCAAACTTTGCAGAATCTATTATCTTTTCAAAGCCTAGATCAAGTCCCCCAGAAAGGCTCAATATTTTATAAACTTGTAAATTGTTGTTAAAACGAATAATAACAAGTGAAAAAGTGTTAAGTTCGGCCGGGCCGAACTTTGGATACCCTCCACCATAGATATACTAAAAGGTAGTTGAAATGAAAATGAAGGGAAAATACCAAAACCATAATGTGAACCATGTTCCAGAAAGTGTTGATTTCATCCAACCTGTGCCTATCTTATTATTCTTCCAAACTTAGTTCAGGTTCGAAAATGTGGACTATCGGTCCACTCCCTCTGATACATCCCACATAGGTGCTAGGCCTAAATGCGGGTTATAGTTCATGTATAGTTCATTATCGAACCTTACGTTCTAACTTTATCTCGATATCCTCCGCAGGTTAAATGATTACGACAGACTCTTAGAACCAAACCCAAAACGCGGAACAAATTAGATAACTATTTTAATATAAAAAAGGGGGTTATATGGGGACTACCCCAAAAAGGGGGTGAATATAAATAATTCTTGGTAGGGAGATTTGTTACCATATACGACTACAAAATACCAAATTGCAGCGAACTCGGTTGAAAAACGCGCCAAGAACCCCAAAATGCCGAATATTGGGGGTACCCTTATATGGGGGCTACCCGAAAAAATGGACCTATATTCATAATTTTTTGTGGAGAAATTTGGTACCTATTAAGAACTCAAAATACTAAATTACAGCCTATTCGGTGGAAAAATACGATCAAACCCCCCAAAATACTGAAAATTAGAAGGTGCCGTTATATGGGGGCTACCAGAAAAAGTGGACCTATACTCATAATTTTTTGTGGAGACACTTAGTAACCAATAAGAACCCAACGTATCAAATTTCAGCGAATTCTGTTGAAAAACTCGGTCAAGAACCCCAAAATACCGAAAATTGGGGGGTACCCTTATATGGGAGCTATGCCTAAACGTGGACCGATATATCCCATCTTCGAATGGGTTATATCGGTCTGCCTGCAGACCCTATCTCAATTCCTTCGGAAGATAGCGTGATTACAACAGACGGACGGACGGACCGTCCGTCTGTCTGTTCATCATCTAGATCCTCTTGGAATTTTACCCTGATCAAAAATATATATTTTATAGGGTCGGAAATGAATATTTCGATGAGTTACAAACGGAATGACAAAATTAATATACCCTCCATACTATGGTATAAAAACTGTGTGTGTAATTCCGAAAACCATAGGTGTATATATCTGTCGGCAACACCGATTGACACTTTTTTACTTGTTTTTGTTTATTGAGTATTTTGGCTCTATTTATTAATCCTCTATTTAACCTCCATATCATACTCCAACATAATACTTGGCGTCTTCACACCATTTCCTTTGAGGTCCTTCGAAGTCCTTCTTCCACGAATAACTTTAGTTTGCTTTGGCTCGTCTTTAAAAAACCACATAGTCAATTGCTTTTTTGTTTCGGTCCCATGCGCATAAATTCCTGATTGACCGGTGATAATATTTATTATATCCTCCACCATAAGCAACACCTCCAAATCTTCACCGGATGCCCCATAATGTATCTAAATTTTTGATTAGAATAAAATTGTATGTCGATTTATGATGTGATCAGGATATAGCTCGCATTACTTAAGATTGCTATTATGAGTTTCCATTAAATATTAAATCGGTATTTTGGAGAATTTGTACAAGTTTTTCATACAAATTGGCTGTAATTTGATATTTTGAATTCTCATTGGGTGTAAAATCTCACTACCAGAAATTCTCAATATTGGTCCACTTGTTACGGTACGTCAAAATTGTCGGTATTTTCAACCGACTCGGCAGTAATTTGGAATATTAAGTTCTCTTTGGGGAGTAAATCTCCCCACAAGATATTATCGACATCGGTATACTTTTGAAGGATTGCCACCCCTAAAACGGCACCTAACAAATTTCGATAGTCTAGACGCGTTGTTCAACCAAATTGGCTTTAATTTGGGTTCTAATTAGGTAGCACATCTTCCTACCAGAAATACAACCGAATTAGATGAAGTTTTGTATTCTGAATTATAATTGGGTTGGTTTTAAGTATAAAATTTATTATTATTTTTTTTACAGTAAGGTTCTTCGGAGTACTTCTTGTATGCACCCAAAATGGTATAGGGTATCATATAGCCAACCCCGTGGCACTTTCTTTCTTTACTTAATGGCTAGTTTACTTTCCCACTTTATTTACTTTCCCACCGAAAATTATTGCTTAAAAAAAATAAAACATTTGTATATTTATGAATTCGATTTATTGCATCTGCATATTTTTTTGTTAGTGTCAATTGCATTTACAGACAATCTCCCCCCCCTCCCCAAAATTATACAACTCCTATTTGCAATTGCAAACAAATTCCATAGCAAAAGTTCACGTCATTTTGATGGATGACCGATATTTTTGTTTGTGTGTGTGTTTTTTTTTTTTTACTTCGATTACGCCATTTTTCTTTGTACATATCATTCAATCCAATTAAAAGTATTGGCAAAGTTAATTAAAAGTTGCAAAAAAACATACACACACAAACAAACACCGTAAACTATAAAGAGAACACGTTCATCATTATAAATTCCACTTTTTCTATAAACAAAATTTTACAAGACTTTATAAAAAATATGAAAAAAAAACTAAAAAACAAGAATTGGTTGGGTGTTGGAAGGATAACTTTAACTGACACAAGATCAGTAGTTAAAGTCGGAAAGGACCACTTGGAGCCCGTCAATACCGAAAGAGTATTCAGTCAAGGTGACAGTTTGTCGTGTGACCTTTTTAACATCTTGCTGGAAAAGGTCATACGAGATGCAAAGGTAAATAGAAATGACACTCTGTTCACTAACAGTACACGTTACTCTGCTTATGGAACAAACGTTCTGTCTCGAGCCAAGCTAAGTAAATAATTTTTTTATCCACAAAAAAACCGGAATGCCAAATTACAGCCGCTTAGATTAAAAAAATACACCTAAAATAATCAAAATACCTAAAGTAGGACGAAATCATATATGGGACTGATGTTAAAAATATAATACCATGGTCAGACAATTTAAAATACAATATGATATCTTATAAGGATACAATGTGAAAATTAAAAAAAGTAAAATATAAGTTTCCAAAATTATCAAGTAAAAACGTCCTTAATTTACTGGCTGGGCCGAACGCTTTAAAATGCGAGTAATCGTTTGGTATCTTCATAAGTGGTGGTCTATTCCATGGAAAGTTTTTTGCAGGAAGATTTGATACCAAATACTAACCAAATTAGGGCCTACTCGGTTTAACTCCCCAAATCACCGAATGGGACGTATTGTTATATGGGGACTATATTAAAATGAAGACCAATATTAATCATTTTAATTAAGTATATGAGAACCCAAAGTTCCAAATTGCAGCCAAAATACGGAATATTCCTTAAATATCTAAAAAATCTCCCTTTTCTAATCCTAACATATTTTCCAAATCGTGTGTTCCTGATGCTAATGATTACGAAATAAAATTTGCAAAATTAAGTATCATCTCAACATCACCGAAAATTGTAGGAGTCGTCCTTGACCATAACCAGAACTTCATTTAAATTTTCAAAGCGATCAGCGCGATATTACCGCCCTCTAGTGGGGTAATAGTAATACAAAACAATATCATAGCACATAGGTACATTTAAATATATTTACGTATAACTTCCACATCCGAGTACATACAACAAAATATCATTGGTATCAACTTAAAGGTCAACAACTCCTCTCTGATATGCAAACAACATATCGCATATATGTCCTTCAGGAGTAAATATATATGTCTCAGAATACAAATTTATTGCATTTTTTACACGAAATCTTGGGGCAAATTATTGACCGATCTTCATCAAAATACAATTTCGTGTTGTTCGGGTCATAATTGTAGCCTTTAGAGCGAGGAGAAAAACAGACAAAAAAGTTGGTCCATTTCATCCCCTAAATATTAACTGATCATTACCAACCTCACAGTGAAAAGTATAAAAAAAACACACACACACACACACACACAAAAAAACCAAAACAAAATCGAGAATCGAATTTGCAAAAACGGAAATCAAAAAAATTCACTATAAGAGACGAAAAATGATTGCTCCGAAAAGTGGCCGATAATCCAAAGCTAAGTGCATCTAAACTTCGCAGAGAAATATCTGGAAATGAAATGTAACCCAGATACAATTCGAAACATGGTCTTCAAGGTAGAGATACCATGAAAAACCATTAATAAAACCCAAAACGCTTAAGATCCCATTGGAATTCTTTCAGGAACACGAAGAAAAGGATTTTGCATTTTGGAAATCTGTTATTTATGTTGATGATTGGATGGACAAAGTAAGGTACTCCGTTCCCGGATTTGAATCCTATAGAGAACTTTTAGTGTATTTTGGAGAAAAAATATTAGAAGCCATAACATCTCATCCTTTAGAATCGGGAAAATTCAGACATCTTACGAGTAAAAAGATAACAAGGGATATCATACGAGGGCGGTTGCGAAATCCTTAGCCTTCTTTGGGGCACTTCCTTCAGCTTCAGTTCATTGTTTGGATTGTTGTTTTGTCTCTGGAGTATACATGGTGAGATAAAAAACTACAACAAAGTCAAATGCCATATTTTTTAACATTTCATTGATTGAAAGCAAAAAATGTCGGAAATAGCATGAAATTTTAGAACAAGTTTACATTTGTTCGAATTGGTCACCTTTTCCACTAATGGCCTTCAAAGGGTCAATGAAATCGTCACACTGTTCGAATGTTGCTCTGCGGTATTTTGGCCCATTACCGGCGAAGCGCTTGCTTCAGGTGATCGACACTTTCATATTTTTTAGTGCCAACCTTGCTTTACGAAAACTTTGGTAGAAATTGTGCGCTGGAAATAAAGCGAGGAACCTCATTTTAAAACCATTCTTGAGTGGGCGTGCTGAGTGCGATGGTGCTGAGTCGTGTTGGAATGTCCAAAGCTTTAATACACCCTCCAGCATATTTTCGCGATAATATTCGGCATTTATTCTGATGTCACGGTCGATTAATACGAGCGGAGAGCGACCATCGGCTGTTATGGCGGCTCACATCATCACCATGGGCGGCGCTTGATTTCTGGTGGCCAACCGAAGGTGCACATTTTCAGTTGACCTATTTGGCAAGTAAACACGATCATTTTATTTGTTTGCAAACTGCTGGACAACGAATGTTTTCTCATCAGAGAAAACCAAATTCGGCAGTTCACTGCTTTCAGCCAAGCGAAGCAACTCTTTAGCTCTTTCGAGTCTATTTTCTTTCTGTTGCGGTGTAAGTTCTTGTACTTTTTGGAATTTCAATGGCTTTACGCCGATCCACTGCGACGCGGGTTTCGATCAAATCGCTTCTTTACCTTTCGAAGCATTTCTGCTGATGTTGCTGTTTTCTTCCGTCCACTTCCTTGAAGTCGGGCTACGCTACCAGTATCACGGTAACGAGCGATGGTACGAGACACAACAGATGTATTCACATTTAAATGCTGGAGTAGCCACTTGTGGTTTTCCAACCAAATAAAAATAAATCACACTATCATGATTGAATTCCATCACGAATAACTTTTTTATATGGGAGCTGTATCAAAATCTGAACCGATTTTCATGAAACTTAACACACATCATTCTAGACTTAAGTCAGTACGCTATGCCAAATTTCGTTCAAATCGAAAGATATACATGGACTTTGGTACACCATTTTCATTAAATCGGAAGAAAATATATATGGAAGCTATATCCGTCCAATTTAATGTAAATGGTGTCCAAATACATCTTCCGATTTTCACGAAACTTAACATACATCATTTTAGGCCTTATTCACTACGCTATGCCAAATTTCGTGCAAATCGGAAGATATATTTGGATTTTAGTACACCATTTACATTAAATTGGACTAACATATATATGGTAGCTATATCTAAATCTGAACCGATTTTTCTCAATTTCAATAGGGTTTGTCCTTGGGCCAAATAAGTGGCCTATGCCAAATTTCATCCAATTTGGATCATAATTGCGACCTGTACTTTGTTTAAAGTTTAACATGGACAGACAGACTGACAGACGGACGGACCGACGGACGGACATGCATAAATCGACTTAGAAAGTGATTCTATGCATATTCTCAAAAGGACACATGGTGTCTATCTCGTTTCCTTTTGCCTGTTGCAATCATATGCACAAAGACATAATACCCAGTACCACAGTGTGGTGAAGGGTATGAAAACCAAGTGGATACCTTTGACTGTGAACCATTGTATATCAGACCTCGTATACCTTATGGGATCTTCATGAATATTGCAAGGTGTTGAAGAGGTGACAAATTTAATATATGCTCCATATGGTGGTGGATAGTATACAAATGTCTAAAAATTTATTTAAAATCATATAGGGTCTGTTCCTTAATCAGTACGTTGTTGCAGTACGGGAACAGACCAATCATATTTCTGATGCATTTAAATAATAATCTTTAAATAAACAAATATTATCACGATTTATTGCTGCGAACAACATAATACCAATGAAATAACTCAAAATCCACTCAAGCCACTACTACATAACATCGCAAAAATTCCAAGTAAGCAAGTCAATAAAACCAAACATCAGCATCAGTTAGTACTTACATTCGGATCCACAGCAATGTCAACCACCGACTGCAGCGCTTGACAGTTGCCCTCCTCTTGTATCGCCCAACAGGGATAGGGTGCAATTTTCGTTAGGCACTGGCCCTTCTTCAGGTTTACCTTGCCCAGTGTGAATGGTACACCTTGTTTGTAACGTGGCAAAGCCACAAAAGCCGAATCACGCTGCAGCTGAGCTCGTGTCACTATCACATTGCGCGGTACATAACGACCCGATTGAACGTAAATGTTTTTCGTCGAGTCGCAGGGCCACAACAAACTGCTGCCACTCAATTGAAATGTCAGTTCGGTCAGAGGGCTTTTATCACATTTACTGATGGACTGTTCGTCGGTCGAACTGTGCGTGGAAACCGATGCTGTTGCTGCCAACAGCGTCAACGAAAGCAAATGCCAGCATTCGACCATGTTTATCTTGGTTAGTGCTCGAGAAATCCGTTAAATGTTACGTTTGGAATTTAACTAAAATGCCATCAAATTAAATGATAAGCTTTTATATTAACTTTGTTGCAAATATTTTCGAAGTGTAACATTGAAGCCGCAAAGATAGCCAATGTTGTGGCCACAAAATAGCTGCAAACTTTTTTTGTTCTATTTTATTGTTGGTCATTTTATGTCTGCCTTGGTTAAATGTTAGCAGATTTTTAGAGAAAAATCACGCCTCAGTTACATTTGACGTGTTCGAATAAACTTTATAGACGTAATCGAAAAGAAATTTAGCAGAAAATAAAATAGCTACAACTATAAATGGCGAAAATGTGTGGCCAGGTCGGCATATGAGTAACCCTAATTGAGTGGCATCGTTATTATGGAATGACGAAATGTTAGACCTTGGACCTCCAGCCAATTAAAATTGTTCCAATGGGTCTAGACCTATTCATATTATTTCTAGTCTACAAAAATCCCTTCAATTGTTTGGAACCGAAAATTGGTTGTTACATTATCGTCTCTATATAAAGATACCGATCGATTAAGGGCTTCCCCATTCCCAGTTTCAAAAAATCGTTTTTTATTTAATATGTACCTACAACATCTCAAGAATGTTTCATTAAAATTTCAAGTGAAAATCTCTAGAACTCATGAAGCTTATATTTATTGTATCAGCATCAAGCGACGGCAGGAGTGCCGTTGCTCTTAGACTTCAGTCCGCCGTAACTTCAGTGGTAGATCAATGGTTTCATTTTTAGAAGTGATAATTATTTAGTGTTGGAATTGTACTGAATTTGTTATTTAACCAGGAATCCGGAATACCAAATAACAGTGGGAAAATCGACAAAATTTTAAAAATAAGGAAAACCGGGAGCAATGGGGGGTTTTGTGAAATATGGAGCTTTGTAACCGTTATGTGAAAAAATGTCAAGATATAAAACTATTTTGAAAATATTTTTCTAAAAAGGCGGAATGCTAAATTACAGCCTCTTCGGTTGGAAAGCCGAGCTTAAATATGATTTCCAAGCGCGTCGGTTTTGTGCGCAAAGACCATGTTCCGAAATGCTCTCTTCTATTTGATCTTTCCATCGGATTCGTTGTCTTCCCCTTCTTCGTGAACCATCAATTTTATATGCCTTTTTAGTGGGGGAATCCTCATGAATTCTCACAACATGATCTAGCCAACGTAGTGGCTACAGCTCGATCCGTTTAACTAAGTCGATGTCCGAGAATAGATGGTGTAGCTCATGGTTCATTCGACGACAATATTCACCGTCGACGCAGATCGGCCCATACATCTTCCGGAGAAATTTTCTCTCAAACATTCCAAGAGTTGTCTCATCTGCTTGCGCAAGTACCCATGCTTCAGATAAACATAGCGTCTTGTTGAGTGTGTGTTTGGTCTGGCGAGAGGTGGCCTTGCTTTTTAGTTGCTTACTCAGACTATAGTAGCATCTGTTGGCCAACTATTCTTTTCCGGATTTCAAAGCTGATGTTATTAGTTTTGTTTATGGTCCCGAGGTATATAAAATCGTTCAGTACCTTGAAGCTGCAGTTTTCAAGTTCCACTGTTGGTCTGAGTCTACTGGACGTCAATTTTATTTGTCGTTGCTTGATCAGGAGATACCCAGATGGTCTTGTGTATATCGAGATGTTTCAATCTAACCCGACTCCTCAACTCATTTATTTATAGTTCTTATAGGAGAACTCGCGTTAGCTACCCCAGGTGACGCCGCAGGGAGGTCAGTATCCGCAATTGAGATGAAAGAGGGAACAAGATAAACCTGTGCATTGTCATGTTAAAGAGCCGTTGCTTGGTATCTATCATCCCCTGCATCACCCGGAGTATTTAAAGTAGATCTTTGAATTATGCACATACATTGTTACAAATCCTAAGTTGTTTATTATAGGAACTCAGTCCATCGCCCATACAACAGAACAATTACAAATATTCAACAGTTTTTAACAATTTTCAACAAATTGCAATTTGATATTTTGGGTTCAACAAAAAATTATCAATATTGGCTCAAGTTTCGGTTCCGCCCCTCCATATAATAGTGCAATATGTTTTGGCACATTTTTTAAACCAATTGGTTGTAATTTGGCACTTTGTGTTCTCATTGGGTACCATAACTAATAGATATCGGGCCCCTTTTTAGGATAGCCCCCATATAACGGTATTCCTCGTCATTCGCTATTTTGGGGAGTTTGGGCAAGTAAATATATATTTCAGATTCCTATTATGTAAAAAATCGTACTTCCAAAAATGATTAATATTGACCCATGATCTCCGTATTTTTTGAGGTTTGGAATTTTTTTTTACCATCGAATGGGCTCTAATTTGTTTTTCAGGTTCATATGAGGTATCACATCTTCTATAGAAAATTATTGATATCTGTTTACGATTTTGTATAGTTTGGTACCGGTCCGTTTTCTTGAATGCTGATTTAGCAGCATATTTCCACTAAGGGCGAATAAAAACTCCTTTCAAGAGTTCCTACTTCAGTTCTCCAATCTGAGTGTCTGTAATTTGGAACAACATTTTTTCAGAGCATGAACAATTGGACCTACATGAAAAACAACACACGTGCTACATAACACAGTACAATATAAGCAATTTTTAATGCACTCCAGGTAGTGGAGGGTATAGTAAGTTCGACCTGGCCAAATTTAACTACGAGTTTACTTTTTGCTTTTTATCTTTTACTATCTCCATTTTAAATCTTATTTTCACATATACACATGTATATAATTGTATGTATTCATGTGAGATTGTGAAATTTTCACAATGACCCTCAGCAAGGCCGTTTCATAGCAAACCCATTGCAAATCTTTGCATATTTTAAAGAATAGTCTCGGAATTATTTTTACTACGAATACGAATGCCCATATTACACATACAAACATGTATGTATGCATTCACATATGAATGCGGTTGATGTATGTATGTGCGGGTATATATTTTCCCATTGTTTGTAATAACTAAGATGATGACGATGATGAAGTTATCTTACCCACATACATACTTACATACATCTGAATGTATATACATATTTGTTGTGAACTTCGGCTGGCCGTTGTAGATGTCCATGCCACACAACACCACCATGTAAGGTCAGTGTCTTAAGTTCAAGCATATTTTGTGTTCCTCTATTTCATCTAGGTTTCCTTCTGTTTGGTTATTTCTTGTTGTTGTTTTTGTTTTGCCCTGCTCCATGAGTATTATTTTGCGAGTCAACAACAACAGCAGCAGTGGCCATAACATTCTTTGGGGTTCATAATTGTGTACTGGAATTTCGTCGGTTTGTTCATGTGTGTAGTTGTAGCCGAAGTAGTAGGAAATTGCGAAAAAGCCACATTCATTTCCACATTCTATGGTTGAACTTTGGTGAATTTATGCGGGTCGAAATTGTTTAAGAAGCTGGCCTGCTATTCACACAGATTTGCAAAGATGGGTTTATTTGCCAGGTGCAGCTATTTGCGATTAGGGTGTCTTCATTAATGTTTTTACAAATTAGGGAAAATTCCTTATTCGTTGGTTAGTTAATTTATCAGGAATATTTTTGAAAACTAAATTCATATTTATTTTTCGAAATACATCTACATCAATGTTCACGTTAAGATGTAATGAGATTTTCTAAAGATTGGGAAGCAATGGAATTTTTTTTTATTTATGTTTTTATACCCTCTACCATAGTATGGAGGGTATATTAATTTTGTCATTCCGTTTGTAACTCATCGAAATATTCATTTCCGACCCTATAAAGTGTATATATTCTGGATCAGGGTAAAATTCTAAGACGATATAGACATGTCCGTCCGTCTGTTGTAATCACGCTATCTTCCGAAGGAATTGAGATAGGGTGCTGAAATTTTGCACAGGTTTGTCTTTTGTCTGCAGGCAGGTCAAGTTCGAAGATGGGATATATCGGTCCACATTTAGGCATAGCTCCCATATAACAGTAATTAATTTTGGGTATATTAATTTTGTCATTCCGTTTGTAACTCATCGAAATATTCATTTCCGACCCTATAAAGTGTATATATTCTGGATCAGGGTAAAATTCTAAGACGATATAGACATGTCCGTCCGTCTGTTGTAATCACGCTATCTTCCGAAGGAATTGAGATAGGGTGCTGAAATTTTGCACAGGTTTGTCTTTTGTCTGCAGGCAGGTCAAGTTCGAAGATGGGATATATCGGTCCACATTTAGGCATAGCTCCCATATAACAGTAACTCCCAATTTTCGGTATTTTGGGGTTCTTGAGCGCGTTTTTCATCCGAATACGCAGAAATTTTGTGCATTTGGTTCTTATTGGATACTTAATGTCTCCACTAAAAATTATAAATATAGGTCCACTTTTTCTGATAGCCCCCATATAACGGTACCTCCTAATTTTCAGTATTTTGACGGTTTTGATCGTACTTTTCCACCGCATTGGCTGTAATTAAGTATTTTGAGTTCTTAATAGGTACCAAATCTCTCCACAAAAAAATTTAAATATAGGTCAATTTTTTCGGATAGTCCCCATATATGGGTACCCCAATTTTCGGTACTTTTGGGTTCTTGAGCGCGTTTTTCAACCGAATTCACTGAAATTTGGTACAGTGGGTTCCTATCGGGTACTAAATGTCCCCACAAAAATTATAAATATAGGTCCTTTTTCTGGTAGCCCCCATATAACGTACCTCCTAATTTTCAGTATTTTGGGGGTCTTGAGCGCATTTTTCAACCGAATTCGCTGCAATTTGGTATTTTGTAGTCGTATATGGTAACAAATCTCTCCACCAAAAATTATTAGTATACGCCCACTTTTTGGGGTAGTCCCCATATAACCCAATTTTTTATATTAAAATCGCTGTCTGATTTGTTCCGTGTTTTGTTCTAAGACTCTGTTGTAATCTTTTCACCTGCGTAGGATATCGAGATAACAAACTAGAACGTAAGGTTCGATAAAGAACTATATATATGAACTAT